AAACACAAGCAACATTAATATAATAATGCCAATGTGTTCACTTAATCATTTATCTTTAATAATCATCTTTTTCTTTAATCTTTATTTGATTAATGTTATTTAAATAGGCAATTAAAAAGTAACAATTTAAAATGCCACTTTGGTCCATAATAGGGCAAGAATTGTTATTTGTATTGTAACTGGCTGATAAAAAGTTCTGGAAATATGCTAGTGTGTTTCATGTGTTCATGTAGCTCACACAGTGTGAGCTTCAGACAAAAAAAAAACAATGGCCAAAAAAGATAAGCCAATTTGACTGTAAACAAATCAAAATCTGAATGGGCCATAAAAATTCATGTCAAGTTGTATATCAAGTATTTATGTTCATTTGTATTTATTTTAATGTTATATTGAACTTTTACTATCAGAAACACACTGCTGATATAAATGGTTGTAAACTGTTTGTAACTTTAGTGCAGTACTATACATTAGAGGTGCGCAATAGGACAATATTTTATCGTTGTCATAATCAATTATGTCACACTTTTCTGAGCATATCATGGATATCAGTACTTAAAGAACACTGACCACCTGCATGTTTCATTACAAAATGAGCATAATTAGGCCTGTATAATTGGATTTAGTGCAGCACAGTTTGTAAAACATTGAATAAAAATAATTGTAGTTGTAAGTTAATTGTTGTTATTATTATTGTAGGTTTTTTATATGTGCAGGTTCTATTTTGTCTGTTCCAACTTATTAAATCTAGAAAAATCAAATATTGTGATTCATATGTGTATTATGAGAATGCCTTGAAGTATCGTGATATAATTTTTTGCCGTTTCTCCCACCCCTACTGTACAATAATTCTGCTCGTTTCCAGGTAAGGGTGGAATTTATAGCCTGTGTTCACTATTCCTTTATTGACTCATAAAGAACATCATCATAAAGCCTTTATAACACTCGCATGTCCTTTGTTTTCTTGACCTGAGAAACACTTTGTTGACCGATTGTACACAAAAGCTAGGAGTCGTTGTTTGTTTTCCACTTCCTGCGACCATGAAAATAACACTGTATCAGAAAACAGAGTGCCATTGACCTTAGGCGTCTATAGGCTCAGATAAGGTTAGAATGGCTCTAATTTTACTCTTCTCTGAGGAAGTATTGGCATATTGAGGAAAGATAAGGCAGTTTGGTTGGGAGGAACTGAGGCTTATCTCTAAGTTTGGGGTCAGGACACAGTGTGCTTCAGGTGCTGTGTGTTGTGTAAAGAGTTTCCGTGACCGAAGGAGTGCAAGAGAGTGTTTAATCTGTGCAACCCTCCTGTTACTGCACCTAAAGTCAGACAGACCAGTCAGACATTTGTGTGGCCCACATGGTAACTACTAGTGAAACAGTAGTTTGAGTTCTGGAAGTATGATAGTAACTTTTCTGTAATAATTAGGCTTGTCGGTATTTCCAGTTTCAATTTAAAGGTTCCTAAGTGGTTTGGATGTTAGATCTTTATTGCTTCAAAGAAATCAGACCTTTTCAGCCAGTGACCTTACAGCTTAGGATCGGATAAAGAATCTCTAATATTAATATGGCAAAAATAAAGCATTACAGTTCTTGAAGACATTTCCATGGTATGTCATGCATCACAGTATTTAGTTTACTAAGGTTTGCAAATAAAGACTGAAAGCTGCTTTGTGAGAAACTAGGCTGTTTTGCTACATATATCAAAACTGATGTACGAAACCTGGGTGTAATTCTGAGCTGTTTCTATCCCTCACATAAAAACAGTCATAGAAGTAGCTTCTTATCATTTGAGAAATACTGCTAAAGAGAAACTTATTTGTGCATTTGTTACAAGCAGAGTTGATTACTGGAATGCTCTTTCTAATGGAGAAAACTATCCATCCTCTACAACTCATACAAAATGCAGCAGCACAGATCCTAACAGAAACAAAGAAGAGGTCATATCACCCCTGTTTTAAAAGAACTGCGCTGGATACTTGTGTCTTTTATGATACAATAGGGGATAGGGGATTGTGCTTTATACTGTCCCAATCTAACACTCTAGTCACAAGTTAATATGTTAGCCCCAAGCAAACACACAAGCCACAATGCAACATACTAACTATGATCCAATACAACAAATTATTAAATAATATTAAATATCATTTTAATTATTATTAATTATTAATCAATTAAATATTATTATGATAATATTAATTATGTTATTGATAATAATGAAATAGTGGATTTCAGCAGTTAGGCTACTAACTCTCCCTTGCTCACTGCTGCCTTGTTGCAGCTCAGTATCAAACGATCCATTGCCCAGTACCGGTCTGTGGCCTAGTGGTTGGGAACCTCTGGTCTACAATACTGACAATCCCAATTCTCAGAAAATTCTCATATTATAATGTAATTTATCATGAGAACAATAACTTGCCAGTTAATGTTAATGCAAGAAATTAGTATATGGACCCTTCTTGAAGTCTATATTTGGCATGCAGGTGTGCACATGACTCTGTTTGGTGTTTGTAGTGTGCTCAGCTTAACAAGGAGTCGTTCGTTTGTATTTCAAACAAACGTGAGCCACCACACATCACATGCTTGCTTTAAAAGCACATGCTACTGACTGCTGTAAGGGGCATGTAACCTCATTGAGGAATGTCCCAGCCTGTGCTGCGCTGGCAGCTAACGCCTCCCTGTCACACTGAATGTTGCTGCAGTTGTGACATTGCTGACCACAAGCTACAGCTGTTTTACGTGTCACTTTGGACAAGGCTGTGTGCAGATGAGCCCCCACCCCCAGCTTCTCGCACAGGAGTGGAAAACCTCAGCTCTAATGTCCTCTTACCAAACCTGTTATATCAGAAACAGCCTTGCTGCGTCATTGTTATGAGTTCAGGGCTGTCTGTGAGCAATTATTAGATGGACCTTTGAGTTCAGCTCTGATGCTACGCGTGGCTTGGAATGTTGAAATCATCATAAATTGACAGGATAATTGAATCAAATTACTTTTCGATAAATATTAAAAGAGAACCTGTGGATCATTATTTTCTTTCAGGATAAACTTTGGGTGTAATTGTGAAACAAGAGAAGTGATGTAACAAAGTCATGCTTTCATAACTAAAAGCCACATACCGCCACCTAGTGGATGGGTTAAGAAGATTACAGAGCTGTATTAAAGGGGTATTCCACCGATTTGGCCAGATGTCTGCGTAACTAAATAGTTGAGATGTAAACAAAGTCATTCAGAGTGATTTGATGTGAACTGCTCTGTTCTAGAGTCAGAATTTTTCACAGTGGTGGTGATAGGAACCAGGTTTCTGAAGTTTAATGCCTCTAAAACCTAAGCCGCAGTAAGTTATTACAGGAAATGGTCATAAATATGCTGCCTGATTACTGAGAAATGGTTTAGGATAGGATTTAGCATAGGATTTTTTTTATGTACACATTGCAAACTCTGCTTCCTATCACCTCTACACTGTTAGAAATAAAAGTGCTGCACAGGTACATTTTTTGATCATCAAGGTACAAACAATGTAATTGTACCCTCAAAGGTATAAGAGCGTTTTTCATAATCTAATGTTTTAAAACAGAACAATAAAATAAAAAGCCTGGAGACGAGACGGGGTGTGTGGAGTCAATACAATTAAGAAAATATCATTTCAATGGTTTATGGTACAATTATATTCCCTGACTAAAGATACTGAGATGTACCCTTCGTTTACTATCTTTACACTTGCTGAGTGTTTTTAATTTTTTTTCCTGTAATAAACAAGAAGTGACTGGAGAAAAGTCTATAGAAACCAGATGATATTAGATTTGAGCAGTGTCTGTGTCAGGAGCGGCTTGGTGATTTACAATACCAGTTAGAGCAAGCATGTGCGAGATTAGTACCACTCACTGTGATCACAGTGGCAGATCTCACTGCTGATGACAGGTCAATGCTGTCTTTGTGTCCGTGTCCTCAGCTGCCTCTGGTGAGAATGAGATAAGACTGCATGCAAAAGTAAGATTCATTTCATCTCTTTTATAGCAACCACTGCCATAGATAGCACTGAGAAGAAGTAGCATCTGTTATTGAGATGAACCACATAAAAGCAAGAGTCTTCAAAATTAATCATCAACAGTACACAACTTTTCCCCCGAATACAGTCAATCAGCCAAGAACTGTTTGGGGTTTGAAGTTTGCTTCTTTAGTTTTGTATTCGAGATACAAGGCTAATGGAGATGACAAGTAAAGGAAGCCTATGACCATTTTCAATTAGAGATGGCACAATACCACTTTTTATTTTCTGATCCCCATATTGAAACCTTGAGTATCAGCTGATACCAATACCAATCTGATTTTAAACTTAACAAGCGTTTTAACTAAAGCACTTCACTTTAAATAAACATCTAAAAGTAAGCTTATACTCAAACTAACCAAATACAAGCATGTGCTATTTCAGGATAGATTTGTTACAGGATTGGGTTGGGTTTATTCTTTTTTCCCTATGATATCCAATATGTCATTTTCAGCTGATATCAGTCTGAAAATGACAGTCATATGCAAAAGACACCCCTGGTAAATGACATGTTTTGTTGATTTTCTGAGTGAAAAAGGCAATACAACCTCTGTAGAGAACACACTGAAATGTTTAAATTCAAATCCTGCAATGTTTTGCAAATTTTTGTGCACAGTTTCTGTTTATTTGCTGTGTTTAACATATTGAAAAACATGAAAACATAGAGTGCCATAACTGTTGTACCCCCCCCGGTATGTTAAATTCAGCAAATAAACAGTAGCCTAAGTGTGCAGAAGTGTGTTCTCTGTAGAGCACGTATCAAGCTCCAGTCCTTGCGGTTCACACACTGCAGCTTTTAGCATGGTGCCTCATTAAACACTTGAGTCAAGTGTGTAAAGATGAACAATTTCCCTAGAAATGGCAGCTTCGTTAATGACCGTGGACTATGTGGCCATACCCTGCTGAAACAACCCATAGAAAACATTAATCATAATAAAGTTTGTTACTCTGTGTTTGCAGGTGATCACTTGTTTTGGGCTGTCAGTGCTGACTTGCCGCTACGTGGGCTTTGCAGTGGTGGCCCTGCTGGTGGAGATCAACTCCATCTTCCTGCATCTACGGCAGATGCTGCGCATGGCCAATGTGTCCAAAAGCACGCTGTACAGGGTTAACAGCATGATCAACCTGGGCACGTACGTGGTGTTCCGCATCAACACGCTGGCCTGGATGACCCGCTGGCTGGTGCTGAACCGGGAGCACGTCCCGCTGCTCAGCTACACCGTAGGCAGTGTGGGACTGGCCATCATGACCGTTATGAACATCGTGCTGTTCTACCGCCTGCTGCGCACTGACTTCCTCAAGTCCAGCCGCGAGAAGGAGGTCAAGAAGGAGAAGGAGAAGGAGAAGGAGAAGGAAAAGGAGAAGGAAAAGGAGATGTGAAAGTTGGTGAGAGCGCTAACACTCGTGTCTCACCTCCAAGCTAACCTGCAGCCCCACCATTATTTGCCTTCCAGATGCCAGCATCTGGTGCAGTTCACTAAGTTGATTTTATTTTCCATCAATCTGCTGATTTTATTCCCCTTTGACCAGCTTATTGGTGTAATCAAATTTGAAAGCCTGTCTTGATTTGTATGCCCACATGCAGTCTTGTTGGTGAGCACTGATGATTTTACTGAGAGCTTGTCAGATTTTTAAAGAAAATATCTAGACAGCAAACAGATGCTTACACACATAAGCACTGCTAAAGCCGATTTACACTACACGACTTTTACCCTGATTTTAGCCCTGATTCTCAGTCTGGCTGAGTCTGTGCTAGTTGGCTCTAGTCTGCAGATTTTTGGGTCAGTCGGAGTCGACAGTTGGAGAGAGAATCGAGTAGTGTGTGAGGGGCGCAGACTCAGATTTTTTTGCCTTCCGCTCGCGTTTCAGACCAGTCTGAGTATATCAGATATGTTTGATTTTTTCTACCTGAGCTTAATCTAGTAGTGTAAACTGGTCAGCGACTCAATCTGAATGGATTCCTGCAACAGCCAATGAGAACAGAGAGCGCGAAAGAAGAAAATACAGAAAATAAACAAAGAAAAATGGCGAAAAGTCACTCAAGTGTGGAGCAAAGCTTTTTAATGAGCACAATCAAGTTTATGTACGTTTAAAACTCTTAAAAAATACCACACTGATCACATTTTTAAAATAATGACCCATGTGATCCCCAATATTTCAGTCTCCCAAAAAATCTTCAAAAACTGGTTGAATAGTGTGAGATGCCTAGTCTTTTTATAATCTGTTCAGACCTTAAAAGTTGTGTAGTGTACCTAAGGCTTAAGTGGAAAATGTTTGTGGTAACACACAAACATACTCTAAACAGCCTTTAAACCAACACAAGTAAGCAAAGCTAATGCTATTAAACCTCACCACACTTTTCATTTAAAAAATATCTACTAACTAGTGACTCTGATGTAGAAGCGATCATGAAAGTAATTCTTTGCAGCCTAATCTCTGTCTTCCACACTTCTTTTTTAAGCATTGGAGTCAATTGATTTCTGTTTTTCTAAACACATGTAAAATATCGAGGTAAATCACTCATATGCAACAGATGTGGCAGATAGAGATTAGGTTGAAAATGCTGGAATATTTCCTTAATACTCAAAGTGATGAGATGTCGTATGTACAGTTGTATGCAAGTGTTTGGCACCCCTTGTCAAATTGTTCGTTTCTCTAAGTGAAGAGGGAAGGCTACAAACGATATCAGAGCACTTCCAGCTTGCAGTTTCCACTGTCTAAAAATGTCATTAAGAAATGGCAGTTAAGGGGAACTGTGCAAGTCAAGGCAAGATCTAGAAGACCAAAAACTCTCTAAAATAGTTGCTTGTATGCTGGCCTGTAAGGCAAAGCAAACCCTGACCTTTTGCATACACCTGTGTGATTGCAAACATTTGTTTTGTGGAGATCACATGTTTTTGGTTTGTTTATATTGAATTACTAAGAGCTAAAGGAAGGCCTCTTGTCAAGCCTTTTTAACACCTACACCTGCTACCTCATAAATGTGTAGCAGTCAGTTGGCTAGTCTCCTCCTAACTCAGTGTGAATGTTCAGCCACCGACTGGCAATTCTGACAGGATGTCACAGGATGCCAGCTGTTTGACTCAAAGCTGTAACGTGTGTAAATCAGCACAAATCTAAAATAATACTGTTCAGATGGAAAGAGCAGCCGAATGAAGTGTGTTGAAAGAAACGGCCCAGTGTCCAGTACTGCATCTGGTCAAGAAAAGGCTGTGATTAAACTTTGCTGTTTAAACATGACCGCAGCCCTTCTTTGAAAATAACTGCCAGCTGCAGTGGTATCACTGATGTACTGCAAAACACCTCAGTATCCTCCAAATACAAATGTTTCGGTTTCGGAGGAATTTGATTGATTTTTTTTTAATTTGTGCATATTTCATTGAGTCATTGAGATTATGAAGAAAGCTCATTCAGAGTGGTTTGATTGGCATGCTCCGTTCTAAAGAAACGTTCTGACTTTAATTTCTTTACAGTGGTGGTTATAGGAACCAGGAGTTGCATGTGAATATAGCTGTTTTATTTTATATCCAAAAAGACCAGTGAACCTTCAGAGTGTCTTCTGAGTTTAGAATTGAATGTTGATAACGGTAAAATAGTGGTAAATCAGAAAAAAATGTACTATTTTGTCTTACAACACCCTGCATGTAACCCTCCAGCATGAATGGATAAAATGTTTTAGGCTAAAACCAATGTAAGCAATGTATTTGTATATCTTTCATGTCATAGCTTTGTGTGTTGGTGGCATTAAACTCTTCAGACATCTGGTTCCTATCACTACCGCTTTGAACCGTTCTTGGCAAGTTTCTCAAGAATGGAACGTTTCACACCAAACCATGCTGAATGTTTGAATAATCTGTAGAATTCCACTTTAAGCCCTCTTCTGTAGCACTTTAGTTGAGCTGTTCTTTAATTGGAGAACATATAAAGGAGAGCTTAACTGTAAAATCAAATAAACATCAGTGTTAACAAAGAGAATACTTGTTTTCTAAAAGAACCATGTGGCATTCAGGCCTTGAACACTGATCTTTATTTGATGCTGTCAAGCTTTCCTCTGGTTTGTTTTGAAATGGGGGGACAGCCTCGACTAAACACTGTGATATACTTACAAAAAAAGGCTACAGAAAAGTGCTTATAACCTAAACATTTGGATTACAGTGTGTACGAGGGATCTAAATCTTACTGCTGGAGCTATTAATGTAGTTACAAAGGGGAGTGTACCTCTCTCTTCCTCACAGCACTGACAGTGTGACATGTCTAAAGTGATGTCTGACAGTTGCATCACAGCCTGATGGACTGTCAACTGTCATTATGCCTGTAGGTGGCAGTGCATGCCTGGTTAATAACAATGACCTCATACTAGTCTTAGCCAAGACTCCTTAGTTATAGAAGCAGCTGTTAGAGCTGTGCCGATCTTGCCTAATGTGTGGTGAACATTTTACAATGGAGTTTTATATCTTGTTGTATGTTTCATATGCACATTTTGTATATTTGTAATTTATTTTTACTCAAATAACATGATTGACAAACAGTGGATTAACATTTGATGCGAAAAAAGAAATTTCCCTTTGGAAGAATTTTGATTACAGTGAACAATAGTGGAATATTGTGATTTTTTTTTTTGTGGTGGTCAACAATGAATGATCCAGTTTATTATAAACTAGAAGCCATTAAGCTTTGTTTGCCTTTTTGATGTGCCCTTCCCCCAGTTTTGCAGGGTGCAGTTTGAGTTTGTAGCTTGGACGTTGATAGCTGGTCAGTAGAGATCATGCTGGCCCTCTCAGGGTTCTGAGGAAGTTGACACATACACTGTAACCACATGTAGCATACCAATATGTGCCACACACGTATTCATCTCAAAAGCACTGTATTCATAATGAAAGGTTTTTTATATTTTTGAAATTGCGTTAGAACTACTAGGCTGTGGGTGGTATACATATATATATATATATATATATATATATATATATATATATATATATATATATATATATATATATATATCACTGTTTAAAAATTCTGATTAGGTACTGCTTAAAATGCCCAGGTTCACAATGAATTTCTGAGGCTTTCCTGCCCTGGTTCAAGCGATTGGTAGTTAATCAATGCTAAACGTCCTGCCTACTTGTTTTTGCTGAAATACATTTTTCTGGTTTTCAGAGTTTTATGCTGTTTTTGTGTAAAATCTGTGCTTATAACGTAAGATATGGCACAAAAATGACTTCCCATAGGCTTCTGTTGGGCTTAGACTGGGACAAGAAAATTACTTTTTTAAATTGTAATATACAGATGATGCAGTAGCACAATGCTGTGGGTAGTGATGTATTTCTGCACGTCATCTTTCCTCTCAGGAACATATGAAAATGAAACTAGTATGAAGACGTTTTATGCTAAAAATGTTTGCTACAGTCAAAAACGTCATCTCAAATTCATCTTTCACATCACAAGATGAGGCTGCGATGTAGTTGAGCTGGTTTATGCTCAGTTCTTGTTGCACAAGAACTTTCTGAAACTGGATGTAGTTCTGCACCCTCTAGAAGCCTATAGGAGATTTCTGTGCTGCATCTTACTTTAGAACGGCATGTATTTTGTATCAAAAAATAATTAAAAAAAACCTCTGGAAACTGCAGTTTTTGAGGGCACAATCCTGTGATTTGGATATTCTCAACATTATTCTCGTGTTGTTGAGAGCTGAGATCTATTTGGTGGGCAATGAATGATCATTTTATTCACTTTCATTTAGTTATAAGAAGTTGGCAGTGTTTCATTTGGTTATAAGTTGATTATAAGTGCAATTCTGTGTTGTGTGGTGAAAATGTGCTGTGGTTATGTTGTGAATGAAATTTTACTCAGCACTGTAGTGCACTGTCACGGTTTCCAAAGCCATAGATGATAACAAAACTGTTTACTTGTGTACTTGATTGGGAAAATGTTTAACTTTTAAATTAGCATATCACTATTCAGCACTACACCAGCGAGAAAAGACCATGCTGAATGTGGTGCTGATTCCCTCTTCATTAGTCTGAAATTTAATATGATTGTGTTTAAATTGTACATTGCATAATAATTTTATTATTCAGTTTGTGTGAATTATTGTTTTTATTAAGTCCAATTTATATATTTTGGTTTTTATTGTTAAGTGTGAAAATAAAACATTATTAACACTTGGTGTTTTAGCTATTCATTTTGATTTGTGAGAAGAAATACAAATGGAAAAGATGTTCAAGCATCACTCTTGAACATCTAGATTATATAGTTGTATGCATAGGTTTTGGCACCCATTGTCAAATGACATGTTTTGTTGATTTTCTAGGTGACAATACTTTACACATCATCTACAGAGAACACACTTCTGCACATTTTAATGCACAATTACTGTTGAATTGCTGATTTAACATATTGCATGTAAAACATAAAATGTGGCCTGTGCAAAAGTTACGGCACATTTTCATTTTATATTTATGTTCTCCCCCAGTATGTTAAACTCAGTAAATAAATGGGAATTGTGCACCAAAATATTTATGCTTGTTCCCTGTAGAGGATATGTGAACATATTCTCACTGAGAAAATCAAGAAAATGTAATTTGATTGGGGGTATTCAAACATTTATATATGACTGTGTGTTTCCTATAATTTTTTTTGTATATATCTGCTCAAGGTCTGTAGAAATAACTATGAATAGTTAATATAATATCTGTAATGTTAGTGGAAAAGGCCAAAAAGTTGTAACTGTTCTCTAGCAAGTAGCTGAAAGTAAAACTCATTAAAAACTTTATAAAGCTTCATTGGAACATCCAGCATCTATCAGCAAAGGAACTGAAGCTTGTTAGACTCTGTTCTTCTCTTTTTGGGTCATTTGGTTTATAATAAAATAATATAAAAAATAGGAAATATGAAAAATGAGAGGCGTGTGCAACAGTGAAGCAGTCCGAGAAAACGGCATATCTGTGTTTTCATTAAACTGATGCTGAAAAAATTATATACCAAATAAATGTTTTTCACTTCCACCCTCTTCCTCCACTCCTCACAGCCATTTTTTCACTGAAATACAAAACCCATATAATGCATATAAGAAGACTTTGAGGTATTGATATTGCTGTTTTGCATTAAGTTTTACTGTCCATCGAATTAAAAGACTGTTAGTGTTTGCTCTCATCTCTGGCAGTCACAACTCTAACCAGTGTAACTTTTTATTGCAAATAACCATTAATTCATCAGAATAAGAGTAAGATACATTAAAGCTAACCATACACATATCAAACTGAATGTCCTTTCGAACATCAACAGAGAAAAAAAGAAAAGAAAAAAACAATAGAAGAGAGTACCCTTTTGGATTTAAATAAAACTGACAGCGATGGATTTACAAAATGTTTTGTTTGCTGCAGGCGTAAACTGACTGATGAAGATATGTAATTATATAGATCTGTGTGTACAAAGGTTGTATGTGAAGGTATTTTTCTGGCAAATCTCGTGCTACGTATATAAAACCTAGCTATCGTTACGATCACTAACCAATAGGCTTGACACGAACTGGATTCATACTAGCCAATCACAGCGCAGGAGGCGGGACAATATTAACCAATCCCAGCGCAGGAGGCGGGGTTTGTCGGAATACGGGTGGGGAGAAAAGCCCTAACAGCTGTGTGGATGCCAGCAGGGCCGCGTCTGCCAATCAGCCTCTCGCGCGTGCACGGCTCTCGTGCTCCGGTCACGGCGCCTCTCTGCGCCTCCAGAAAACACTGCGCGTCCTCTGATATCCGAGATGTGCAGGAAAATGGCAGCCTACTGCACGTTTACGGTTCATTATTTTAACACGGCGGTGACTTTTCTTCGTCAAATCGTGTAGGAGAGAAGAGGAGAGCACGGTGGACGCCGCGGAATCCGGTTCTCGTATTCGCTCCTCGACCCCCGGCTTAACCTTGCTTGTCATGTTGAGGTCTTCGTTCTTCTGCTTGGCTGGATATCGATCGAAACGTCGCATCTCCTCGAAGGATGCCGTCAGTGCGAGAGAGCAGGCTTCACCCGCGCTGTGAAGGGAGGATAAATCCCAGCAAAGCTTCTCTGGAAACGCGTTCATTCATTCCTCGCGTGATTCGCTGAAGCTTTGTTTATATCGTTTGGAGATCAGTAGTCTTTAGCCTGCGGTGATGGAGAGCACGGTAAGTGTTAGCGTAGACAGTAAAACAGCTACCCTGGTTCGCTTTAGGATGCTTTGATTTGTCCGTATTGGTCATATGGCTCTCATAAATGTGGCGTGTAATGAAGCCACATCTAATTAAAGCCTGTTTTTGAGTTCATGTATGGTTACGGTTTGTGTGCAATAAAGGCCTTCAGTTTGTCCCATTTATATACAGTCTACAGTGAAAAATGTGTTGAGCTAAATCCAGATTTTGTATTCACTCACCACTCCAGGAGTAGGTGTGAAGGTCTAGAATCAGTTATTCTGACCATTACTGTAATAGGTATAGAGGAATCTGATCTGAGATTAGTCCTCTAGTTCAGGACCCCTGTGTTAATACCAGTTCTTGCCTAATGAACTGGGCAGAGCTTAAATTAGTGCTGAAGGTTTTCCTGCATCAGATCATAAACCACTGTCAAACTTTCTCAGGCCTGACTTTTGATTCTGTGGTTGCTAAAATGCAGTCATGCCAAGAAAAAATAAGCAATCTTCACAAATATCCAAGATGTGAGATTGGAATAGCAGCACAGTATGTGCTTTATGATCTGCTGGATGTTCCTTGATATATCTGGACTTTAATTGTAATTCATTCATTAAATGTAATGAAGATATCTCAGATTTACTGTTACTGGCCAATTTAGACAGTGGTGCCTGTGGGTCATATGCCACATGTTGTCATATATGCTTGTTGCATTGAAGTAAGGGATGCTGTAGCTTTCTCTCATTAAAGTCAACATAAATTGTAAATCATAACTCATTGTGCTTCTGTGTAGTGACATATTTCCTAGTGGAACAGTATCAGGAAAGGTTGCGGATCTTGTTTTTGGTCGATGATAGGTGGGGGTGGTGGGAGAAGGAGGGGAACCATGATGTTTTTGAAAAATATTTGCGGGTCAATATTTTCTTTATGAAATGTTATAGTATGATGAATCAGGCTTCATGTGACCAGGGACTGAACTAACAAGGTAAAAAAGATCAGTTTTGAGCTCAGGTTGACTTTAGCATATTTATTTTTGGTAAAGAGGTCACAGGTGGTGATGGACAGGAGTGCGCTGGCACGGCAGGTGGAGAGCGTGGAGAGGAGTATCGTTTTCCTGCGGCAGGAGCAGCTGACCCTTCTGCACGGCTTACACCTGGAGATCCTGTCCCTGCAGAAACGCTGCACAGGTGAGTTTCATCGCATACCACCTCTGCAGCAGTTCACATTGCCTTAGAAACACAAACATGCGCACATTTGCTAAACGCACAACCAGTTGTTTCGTTGAGGGTGCAGAAGTTGCCCTTGCTCAGTTGCCCATGGCACAGAACGGAACAGCTACAGTGAGAAGTGCTGAAACATGGGCTTTTACCCATTGAACGCTGGACAGCTGATTTCACAGAGGCACCTTCAGAGGTGCTGAAATAATACCATAGTAGAGTGAACCAAAAACAACGATTTTACCAGTTGACTACTTCCTATTTTTTTCTTTTTTCCACAAATGTCCCATTCTCGCTGAATTGAGCTGACGTTGACTAACCTTAACATGAACATAAACGTGCAGGGCTGCTATGTAGTATTAATTGGCAAAAATGGAAAGCAACTTACTTTATACTACACTGTACATACACAGTAAATTGTGTTTGATTATATAGTTACTGTGATGTCTTTGAAAGGTCACAGTTATCATATAATAACAGTAACAGATGACATAACAGCTGAACCATGCAAGTTCTTCAATGGCATGCACTGAAATACAGCACCCAGATTGACGAGGCTGCATAGGGTTCAAACCACTGCCTAAGTCTTCATCTTAAAGGAATTGATTTTATTTATGATTGACCACTGCTGTCTTTGGCTGTCTCAGTGGAAATGGCATGGTAAGGGATTGCATAGTAGCTTTTGTTTACCCTACCCCTGCTAAGATATTGCTAATTTCTGCTAGCATGGTAATGGGAATTTCAGTGTTATGTTAGCATCAAACTAATCGTAGTTAATATTTGCATTACATAGCAGTTCTCTAGATTAGACATTTGAAGTTTATAACAGACTTTTAAGTAACATGTTCTTTACTTTTTTGGATGTTGACTTCTTCAGTAAAGATTTAAACTCTGGTGAGGACAGAATGTGGTCCAGTTAGCACACAAAAAGCCTGTTAACATGAATGAGAGTCTTCTGGATACCAGGATATCAATTCTGTGCTACATCGAGCAGCAAATCGTAAACACCATAGAGTCACATGCTTTCTGGAAAAGGGAAATGCACTACAAAACAACAGACACTTCATAGTTTGACAGTTTTTGGATGGTAGATACAATGATAAATATCATATGTATGAAATGGAAATGAAAAAGCATCTTTGCTTATGATGTCTCTTTTAAATCAAATAGCGTAATCTTGTACCACTAGCCAACATTATAGATGCTCCTGTAGTAGAAGCAACATTCTAGTCCTACATCATACTTTGTACTGTAGGAGGAATCACATGCATTATTGTCAAAGCTCCTACTGTATGAAAACAGTGCAGAAATCTGCACGTGCACCTCCAGCACAGGCCCTGCTGCCACGCCCAGGGAGGGCTCATTAGTGTGTGCGCGCATGTCATAGCCGAGCTACGCCACTCATCCTCTAGCATGAGGAGGAGAAAACGGCTTCCTTTCTGCCTCCCTGCCTCTCTGTGGGATGGTGCAGACTCCACTGAGAGAGCTACGGGTCAATAGCTTCCTGGCAGCGCAGGGCTTGTGTTCTCGCCTTCAGTAATACAGTACGAGGCCAGTTCACCTGAGCCTGTCTGAGGATTTGCTGAGCCAGCTGAAAGGGAAAAAAGTGGAGCTCTGCTGCATATTCATGGCTTTGCCCCTGCTGCTTGTAGGGTTTAGATCAGCAAGCTGACCACTGAGCACTCCCTATTACTGCTGAATGAGGTATATAGTCTCACAGTGATCTGATTCTATCAGAGTCCCTTTTGTATTTCCAGAGTATGAATGATGATAGAGGAGCAACGCAAAGAAATGGGGGTAAAATTCAGTCACACAGAACCTACTGCAGGTTAAATAAAGCTGTATGTGAATTGCTTGTAACTAATAGTCTGTCGTATTTTTACAGAACTGACCCACGAGCTGAACATGAAACCTCCTGGCAAAAGTGAAGCAGGTGAGTGCTATCTAGAGGTGGGCAAGGTATTATTATTATCATACCAGGGTATATTTTTGAACAATTAGCCATCTGTCACTCAGTGGTGCACTCGTCCATGATCATGTCATAAATATATGCGATACCATTGAACTGTAAGATCTGGACAGAATACCACATTGCAGTGATATTGCAACATATTGCAATATTCTATTAAAAGAGAATAAAAGCAAAGTGGTTAACAACTTTTATAGGGGACTTCATATCGATGGCAGCTCAAATGCTTTACAAACAGGTGATAAAGCTTAACAGTAATAGAAAAAATTATAAGTATTAAATAAAAATCATATAAGGCAATGACAGATTAATTTAAAAAGATAAATACCAAAAGAGATGTACAAATTTAATCAAATGCTAAGTTAAAGAGATACGTTTTGAAACGTTTCCTAAAAGTGTGCACTGAGCTTGACTGTCTTAGAAAAGGTGGAATGGAGTTCCACAGTTTTGAAGCATAGTAACAGAAAGAGGCCTCCCCACATTTTCTGAATTTTAGGGAAGGTATTTGCAGAAGGTCAGTGTTTTCAGATCTAAGATCACATGTTGGAATATAAACAGACAGACATTCTGGGAGATATGCAGGTGCTAGGTCATTTAGAGCCTTAAAACCTAGTAGCAGAACTTTAAAATTTGTCCTGAAAGATACAGGTATCCAGGGAAGTTCTTACAAAATAGGGGTGATAAGAGCTCTTTTTTTTCCTTTTTTCATAAGATTCTATACTGCTACATTTTGTTTGAGTGTAGAGGCTGTATTGTTTTCTTAGTTTTCTTTCAAAGGCTTAACATGTACATAAACAAATTAAAAGATTAAAAAAATATATACATACTGTAAAGAACCATAGATAGATAGGAAAAAGGAGTTAAGATGATAACACTGCAGGTATGTAAATTACTTCGTGGATGACTTCATAGCAAGAATAATGCAATGTGTCAAAAATACAAGCTGTGTATTTGGTAATCTAGTATAATCTAGTGGAATAATAGGAGGAATTCTCTGCATATTGTGTTTTAATTGCTTTGTGTAACTGTTAAGTTGCACAGAGATTATGTTGCAGGCAGCTAACAACATGCAGTTAGTTACATGAAAGTTTCACTGTAAAGACAGTCTTAGATAGGGTGCTAATTAGTTTGTCACTTAGTTCTAATCTAAGTGCTTCACATTTAAAAAGACCAATTATAGAGAGCTTGTAAATGTAAACCACTGTATAGTCGGTGCATAAACTGTAGTTCTGAATAGCTGATTAGCCTTTTTATTCCATTACTTTATTATTTTATTTTTACCAGTTGTTTGTTAAATTAAAATGCACATTAGTACTTATAGATTGGAAAGTGTAATGCTGGCTCGGCTAATCATCTCGACCTTGTAAATTGCAAGCAAATCATATCAGACCTCATAAGTTGTCATAAGGAGAGTCTCCAATGCTACTCACTCTGCGAAGTAACGTCATTTGGCAACTGCTGAAGTTGTGAAAGAATTTTATCAAAATATATCAAAACCAAGAGTCATATTCAGATAATAATGGTAAAATTTAGAACACTCATGGGTAGTGGGAGAACAGCATGGTTGTTGGATATCCAATAGTTGCTAATGTGAATATGATTTAAAACATCCTGTACAAGGTTGCGTAATGCTTACCACTTGCTTTTTGGCTTTGGAAGTCAATAGCAAGACGTGAGTGACTGTACATCACAGGAATGCTTGAAGAGGGCGTAATTTATCTTTCTGCACAGTGGCCTTTATTGGAGTGTTATTTAAAAGTACATTACTATTTTGGCATTGCTCCTTTAAACTATATATTCTTGGCTCATGCTAGTATGCTAGTATGCTCACTGTGAGGATGATGACCCTTTTGGAGCAAGATATATATGTTTGACTGAAAAAAAGTAATAGCATTCTGTCTTTAAAAAGTTTCAAAGTTTCATTTTAAGCACTTAGTAGTAAATAGATGATAAATAGCTGTCTCCCATGTTTGCATACCACAGGAATACCACTTTGCTTCACACAGGTGTATTTTCGTTGTAGCACTGTGTTGACAATGGGCCTCATTCACAAATTTCTTAAACGTATTCTTCAGAAAGGTCCTAAGAAAAAGTCAACGTCAGATTCATGACGTGTTCTTAATCCGCAGAACTGTTCACACCTTTGTGCTCTTGAGTGTGTGTAGATTCTGTTCTTACCTGAGAACAAATCCCAGGTAAGAAAACATTGGTGAATGTCAGAATCTGTGTGCAAACTGCATGTAGGTTTTAAGAAGAAATTTCTTCCTAAGAACAGTTGGTGAATGAGGCCCAAAGGTCTGTTCCTGTATGACACGCGACAACATTTGTGGTAGGTTGTTCTGCAGATCAGTCACATGGCTCCTTCCTGACAAAGTAGGTGGTTCTTTGCCAAATTGAGTGACAAAACATACCAGAAAGTCTGATGAGGCTTGAAAGATTACTATTACCTCAGCCACTGTAGAAAAGAAAAACATTTTCCCTGCTTAGGAACTGCAGTCTTTCTTAATACTTCATCAGTGTTTAGTACATAGTAATGTTTTAATAGACCTGAGGGCAGAACTGCAAGGCTCTCATCAGGCCATCCATCTTCTGATCTCTCCACCTCAGCCTCCTCTCTCCTCCTCTCTGGCAAATTGATCTCTTGCTCCCCCCCCCCACTCTTGTTTTCAGTACAGTCCCAGTGGGGATATCCAATTACAGCTTGTTTTTTTGCTGAGATTATGTTGGTCAGGGAAACGGTGAGGATGTGTGCAGTATTGGGAGGGTAGTAAAAATGACTGCAAAATCAGGCCATCAAAGTCTCCATACAGTGGAAACTGTTTCAGTGGAAGAATCACATGTGACAGGCATAAGAATAACAATGAATTAGATCAACATGAAACAGAATTTGAATTAACTGTGTTTGTGACATCATAAATGCCTCAGTCTAATAGCTTCTGCAGGTAATCAACAATAAAATAAGATAATAAAAAACAATGCAATAATTTGAAAGCCTAATTTTAAGTAACATTTTGTCTTGGGTAGGATGTGGTGCTTTTTTTCACAATACTGAGTAAAATTCAGGGGCGATGGGGCACTTTGTGAAATATTCAGAATAACGTTTTATCTTGACCTAATGTTAACTAGTGCTAAATAGCTAATTAAACAGAGCAGAAATGAACAAATTGGTTTTTATTGGAACAAAATACAGCAGAGCAGCCCGGGCTTCAGTAGGGAGAATGGTGGTGGATGTGAATGGAAGGCATCTGGAGCAAAAACTACAGAATTGATGAGGAGCAGAGGAGGATCAGATAACACTGCATTTTCTATATTCACTGCATGAGCTCATCTGAGTCTGGCCTGCTGGGCGGCTGATAGGCTGGCAGCATTTGGGGAAATGAGGGCATTAGGAGCAGGGAATACCCGTAGAGGCCTTGATGCTCCTGCACTTGCAATAGAGGGATATAAAAGGAGGCAGTATAAGTCACAGATGGTCCCATGTGGAGGTGAAGAAGTCTCAATGCTCTGAGTGTAATTGGTTTTCAGTGTATTTACTGTGCATTTTATACCTGATATATTGCATCATTGTTTATGTGATGGTGCATAACGTCCCAGGGTATATTTTTGAACAATTAGCCATCTGTCACTCAGTGGTGCACTCGTCCATGATCATGTCATAAATATATGCGATACCGTTGAACTGTAAGATCTGGACAGAATACCACATTGCAGTGATATTGCAACATATTGCAATATGCTATTAAAAGAGAATAAAAGCAAAGTGGTTAACGTGTGTCGGGATGCTCACAGCATATAATAAACAATTCTGTGACTGGTTATAGAGCTAATAGAGCTACCATTTGCTAATTCCTACAGCTTTTCAAACCTAGTAATGTATTAGGCCTTCACACAGCCTATGTGAAAGGAATAGTGACAACTGTTTTCATTTTGTTTTAACCAGTTTAGGAACATTATATTGGGGTAGGAATGGAAGATAAAATATTGGTTCTGCTTGGATTTGTTGATTTTGATTTTTTTATGTTTCTGAGCCCTGGTCCTTACATAAAAATGAGGTCTATCTAGTCTATACACTCTCTAGCTTCAGTATATCAGTGGAACGGACTGTAAGGCAGATCGTAGCCTGAGGTGTTTTTTGGTGTGTCTGATAGCCCTGAACAGATGGCTCACCCTGCCAGGGGTCTGGCCAGAGCTGAGATTGGTTGTTAAGGATTTGCTCAATAATTCTCTAATCCTTGCCCATTACCACTTAGCCCACTGCCTTTTGTCTGACTTTCCCTCCACACCTCATCAATTAGATTAGTTGGCAATATGCTTTTGGAGTCTAGTGCCTAATTTTAAATCAGAAGGGATTGTTCATATAGTTATAGCTTTTGTCATTTGACTGACTCTATCTTATATGACATCTATGCTATTTTAAGCTCCCTTGGGCGAGAAGCCTGCTAAAATTACTCATTGATGGATCTGGTGTGGATTTATATTTTAACAGATAGCGGCGAATGGCTTAAATAAGTATGTCTTAAAGTCAAGCTGAAATCAGATCAGTTTTTACTTTGTCAGTGCATATCTTTGGTCACATTAAGGATGATTCACCATATCATATCATTTAAAGGGAAAAATGTAATGACTTTTGTGTGCCACTACAATGTCTCGTGATTCATGTTTAAAAAAAATGTAACCCATAATAGTAAAATAATATTAGCATAAAGCCTTGGGCCAAAATATAGCACTTAGTTGTAAGCCATACAAACAGAACATCTGGAGGACTGCTTGGAAAGATGGCAACAAATATTTTCATTCTGGTACAGAATGCTGGGATACATGCACATGAAAAAACCCATATCAAGAAGAGTGGTGCAATGGCAATGTTTCGGTTTCCAACCAAACAAGCATAAAGAACCACTGGATGTTAACAGTATTAAATGCCAACTGTGCAGAATGTAGTTATCATAGGTGTCATATAATTATACTACCATCAGACAAAATGCAAGATATATGTAAGGTATGGCTCTGTAACACTCACATGTGGTAGTTAGTAACTAAATTTGAAATTATTGTGACAATGCTGCAGTCTTTTGTCTACATTTACATTATTGCCCAAGCTTATTAGGCAATAATTCTCAATAGTTCTCTCTCTCCCTCTCAGCACCTACAGTGGCCCCAAAAACTGTTTGGACACTATAACCATTTAACCATTGGTAAACTTTAATTAAGTTCTTTAAATTATATTTTAAATGTTTAACAAAATGGTATTTGTTTCAGATACAAACAGTTTTAGCACAGCATTAAATTGATGGTAGACTCTTCGTGTGGCGAAATCCTGCACAAGAATTCCAAACAGACTGCACTAAGGCTATTGTAAAGCACAGAGGTGGAAAAGTCAAAGTCTCGGGCTGTTTTTCTTACAGCTTGTGTTCATTTATTGGTTCAAGCACTGTGGTTCATAGTGTAGACATTTTGGATGCAAACCTGCAGAGTTGTTCAAAGAAACTGTTCAAAAATGAACAATCTGAAACAAACCAGCCACCTTTGGAAACAATACTTTGCCAAAAAGAAAATTACTGTCTTGGAATAATCTGTTTAAAATAAATGTCACATGGTTTGACATTACAAATACAATGAACGTAACACTTTTTTAAGTATGTTCAAACTGACTATGTAAAGAACCTCCAGGACACCATGATTCACTCTATGTCAAGTTATGATTTCTGATTCGCTCTGACACTTTTCTTTTGTATGTGTGCATGTTTGTGATGCGTGTGCACATCAGAGGTGCGAGAGGAAGAGGAGCAGCTGGAGGCGCGCTGCCGGGATGTGGAGGGCAGGCTGCAGGAGCAGCAGCAATCGCAGTGCGAGCTCCGGACAGAGCTGACCCACAAGGGGGCACTGGTGGGTGCGCTGCGAGCCAGCCTAAAGGAGAAAGAGCGCCGCTTTCTGGAGGAGCTGAAGCGCCGCAGCCACAGGAGCACAGCGCTGAATGCTGAGCTGCAGAAACAGACTGAGGCCGCCGCCTACCTGTCCTTTCAGCTGCATGCAGCCAGGCAGAAACTGCAGCAGCAGAGAAGGAAGCAAGCCGCTTTGGAGAAGCTTCCAGCTTCAATTGCAGAAAAACCTTCAACACACAGCCAGCCACAGCAAATCCCAAGTGTCAAACCCAAGCGCCGCAGCGGTTCTAGACCGTCCTCTCACCTTCGGGCTGAACGGGCCAGAGAGTGCGTGCCTCGAGAGAGAGTGACAGGCCCAGAGGAGCCCACGGCCATGCCGGACCCCGCGCTCTTCCTCCGTCCACGAAGGTCAGCCTCTCGGCCAAGACATCTACACACGCAGGGGGCAGTCGGCGGAGAGCAGTCGGATGAACCAGATCAGGGAGACTCAGCGAGCAGGCTGGTTACCACGGCCACTGTAGCTACAGCAGCTGCCGCTGAGAGCAAGGCGGACTGACTCTGCCATCCTCCTGCTTTATCACCCGCAGGACCTGCCTGCTTCTTTCAATGCTGTTTACCTCTGTGAACTGAAAAAACCTGTTTGTAACAGTGGTAGACATGTTTTTCTATATTTGCCATGTGATTTCATTCCACTGGACTTACACCTAACGTGTTAAAGGAACAGTTCAGTGAAAAAGTTAATGCACATTTTTTCCCTTAACTCAAATGTAATTGTGCAGCTGAGACATTTGGTGTCTGAAGTTTGCCTCTTTAATTTTGTGCTGGAGCTACAAACAAAAATCTCAAATGGACTAATACAAAAAACAATGTCATACAGTATCAGAAACCACATAAGTACGTCTGTTTGAGATTGGGTAACAGTGCAGTTCAGTTTCAGTCAGGCATTTGGTGATTTAAGCATATAGTTTGATGCTAGTGATATTAATCGCAAATAAGCATCCATTACTTGTTAGCTGCATTGAAGGCAAAATCCTCAGACTGTTCAAGATGTCTGCATAAGAAACTTACACTTCACAATGGTGATGATAGGAACCAGGCATAGTTTCCAAGTGTTTAATGCCTCTAAAAGCTACCTCACAGAGAGCTTTACAGGAAATAGTTAGGAATATGTTGCCTAATGCCTGATACATGGTTTTGTGATAGTTTTGAGGTAAGATTTACACTTAAAACTTATTTTTTTAAAGAGTAGACATCATCACCCCTGGTTTTATCATCTTTATTGTAAAGAAATCCGAGTTGGCACATCTCTCATTAAACCACTCTGAATGATTGAGTTGTGCAGACATTTTGAAAAATCTTTAGGATTCCTCTAAATTCCTCTTGTAGCTCCAACACAAACGTAAAGAAGCAAACTTTGATCATCAAAAAAACCTTGGCTGATTGACCATATTTAGGATGAGGGGAAAGACATGTAAATTTGACTTTTTACAGAATTATTCCTGTACTTAATGGAATGAAAAGATTTATGCTTTAGTTCTTGTTGCGCAAAATATAGTGCATTGGTATTAATGGCCAGTGGACTGGCTATGGTACACAGCACTGCTGTGTGGTTCTGCCTTGCCTTAGGAAGGACAGCCATAGGGCAGCTTGTAGTTGTCCATATGGTAATGTGTCTTTGTCTTTTGGTTCTATGACTTCTGTTTGACTTGGTTATTTCTTTCTCGTATACTCTTGCTGTTGTGCACAGAGGTTAGTCATGTTTGTTGTCATTTCTGTTCCATATCTCCACGTATCAACACACTTTTATTAACTGTGCTACACTGCAGTGCATGCAGATTTGATCACTGTAATTTCATTCTCAACTTTTGGCCTTTTGCTCATAAATAATAACCAGTTGCTTAATCCAAATAGGGAAATAGGTAGAACCGTCAGGGGTGTTTTTTTTATGAGGTTTGGTACGTAATTAGAGAACGCGTGAGTCTTTGTGTTCGTTCATAGATGTGACCGGTCAGGGCCTGACCGATATACCAATTAGCAGATATCGTGGTCCCACAGATTTGTCTGTAGCACCATGATAAAGCACTGATATTTATCGGATAATTTTGTATTTCAGTGACATCTGATGTGAGGAAGAACATTCATGTCTAAGGATTTAATGGCAATATGCTCAGAAAAGCATATTATTACATATTGGGTTGTTATTTATCATGATACTGATAAATATTGTCATATTGCCTAGTTCTACTTTATACTGGTGTACCAGTCTTTATAGAGACCACTAAGCTGATTGTCAGCCTCATGCTGTTCACATTTGCTACAGTGATATGCGTACTGGTACATTTGAACACTTTGGCATGAGAATAAAATGTTATGCCTTCAATAAAGACAAGAGATGAAAAATAAGCGCTAATTAACAGAAAACAGCAAAATCATTAAGAATGCTAGGAAGCTCTGCCCCCTGTGCTGCAATATTTAGCCCATTTCTGACTGTAGCTTTCTGTTGTTTGAGTTTAAGATGTGATAATAAATAACTGATGATTATATCTGACAATTTACAGTTGACAACTATTTTATATTATATATTTATGCAGTTATATTAGTTAGTAAAACAAAAAGTTTAACTAAAACGTGTGAAATTTAGTTTAATTTTTACCCAGATTGACTTATATTTGACATTATTAGCCTATATTAACTTATACTGGAAATTTTATTAATTAAAATCAGTGTCAACATTTTTCATACCAGTCGGGCCCTACAGGAGTCGGGTCATTGTCAGAAAGTTGCCCATAATCGGTCAGAAGCTCAGCCCTGATTGATCCAAGAACTGTTCATGATCTTAAATCCCATACATAATCTGCCCTAGAGCAAAGCAGGCATGCAGCACAAGTTACTGTGTTGATGCTGCCTGGTTAAAAGTGATGGCATGAAGGCACCTGCCCAAGTCAGCTCCTTCTTTTAAAAGAAAAAAGCATTGTATGTAATTCATGAGAAAAGTAGTTTCTAAACCTAATCTCATGACTTTAAATTGGTTGTCATGTCCTAATAGTGTTCCTTTCTCAACTACTTGATGGCTCTGTTGTGTGACATATAGTCCTATATGATGTTATGCAGACATGACATCAAATAGGATTTTAAGAGTATACTGCTTGTACTAGCCTTGCGATATGTAGAATGTTCCATAATGTCGTAGGACAGGCTAATAAGATAGATTTGAAGCTTAGATGGTGATAGCATGTGAAAACCTCTCTAAAAACAGTTCACAAAGGCAGCTGTCCTGGGGCAGGCACATATTAAACCTAGTAATATGGAGAATATCCTTACACAGTGTAATTTAATCTGTGGAAAATCAGCTGTTGGTACTGTGGAGAGCTCTTGTTTCTGAATGCACAAAAGTTGCTTGCGTTAAGCTAAAAGACCACTAAAGCCCAGTCTGGTGATTGTGGCTCTTTTCAGGGCCTGTGTTTTAGGTTTAGTAAATGTACTTGCACTGTATGTCTATAACAAACTCTTGTATTGGAACAGTGCAGAGAAGGAGAGGTTGTGCTTTACTGTGTGTTATATAATGACAATACTGACCGTTAACATATCATGTTGTTGATAATAAGGTTTATTTTATTGAAGTTTTACATTATCTGTACCAAAATGTTTTTATGTTATTTTTCCTCTGATTTAACAATGTATTAGCTACTACTGTGATTAGCCTTCCATGGGTGGTAGTAAGAGATATGCAATACTGCCTCAAGTGGCAACATACTGTAAACAGTGCATAATCAGCTTTTCAATATACATCTTTTTCCACATTTATCAAAAAAAAAAAAAAACTTCAGCATAGCTGTGTCGTCTTGATCTGATTCTTACTGATAGTTTGAGCCTTTTCTTAATCGAAAGAGTTTTTTTAAAGAAAAAAAACAAAGAAACAAGTCCTGAGTGAGAAATCTAGAATCGCCTGTCTTCCCTCCTCAGAGTCATAAAACTATTTGACTGTTACACAATATGGAAAGCTTTTGTGTTACGGCAGCAGCAGGTTAGTGCCGAACTGTGCTTACAGCCAAATTCTCTTTGCAAAGTCTTAAACAAGTTACCTGCTCAGTCTCTGAATAACATGAGATGTTAAGCACCAAAATGTTGCAATAATCCACTGTATCTTCTGTGGCTCATGATTAAAGAGTTCTTATCCTAACAAGTCTGTGGAAGCCTCTCTGTGAATTGATTTCTTTATTTGGACACAGTGTCGTTGGGCTGTTCTTACCAAGTGATAATTCAGTAGCAAACAGTACTGAGAGAACTGAGATGAGTGACAGCTGTTGTTAATCTAATCTAAAAGGTACAAACATACTCGTGCTGAAAAAGATGGTGATTATTTCAAAGAAAAAAGTAGCATTTGGTTAAAACATTTAATGTAGCTATAATACATAGCCTTTATTTTACTCTTTTAAAGCTCACTACAAGTTACATTGCTGATTTGACATAAAATCCTCAAATGAACTGTCTTTACTCCACAAGCTTCCATGCTCTGCCCTTTTTTAATCTATGCAATAGAAATAAATCTACCTTTGTACCTTGAATTAGCCATTCATTAATATGGACACTGAACAGATCTGCAGTAGTATAAAAAGGAAGTATGACAGAGTCTCAACGCATCTCTCACATCTCTGCCATTCTAACCAAAAGGATGTAAGTCTTCTAAAGATCAAAGGACTAATCACTGCTTTCTCCACATTTACATCTCTGTAACAACGTGACACAATGTGCAATTGTGAAACAATTAGCACATTTCTACCAAAGTGTAAAAGCTGCTGCTACTCTGTGGGCATTCAGTCTTGCTCAGATAACAGTGAGTAGAGGAGGCTTACAATTATTTTGCTGATAATGTATTTTTTCCTAATAATTTGATTTACTAGTTTACATCAGAAGAGGCCTCGAAACAGAGTACAGAGACATTCTGACATTTTCAAACTTAATATAAAAATCACATTTGCTTTGGTAAGAGGTTTCCTATAAGTTTAAATCAAGCATCAGATTCTAAATAAAATTTATGAGCAAAACCGATAATCACCAAGATTTTAATTCTACCCTATCCTGTATATTTAGATGAATATCATACAAATATTATCAAAGCTTTTTAAAATACCATTCATAAATTATGTGGTCCACTTCTTCTGGATCTTTTGTGTAATTTTACACTTCTGGAAAGATTATAATTACATGGGTAAATGTTATGCAAGATTCTTAAAGGGACGTTCCACCAATTTTAAAACATTTTACTATAATTTGCTTGTTGAGAAGCATACAAACTAAAGCAGTTTTGAAGAAAGGGAGCCTATTCTGGAGAACCTTGCTATTAGACATTTTGATAACTTTCTGTGAGGTAGCTTTTGGAGGTTTTATTCACTTTATACACAAGCCTGACTTGGCAGGTTTCTCTAGAGTGATGCATTTTTCATTAAAACAATCTGAATGGCTTTGCTGACTTTGTAACCAGACCTGAAAACTTACACTCAAATTTTGAATAAAGGAAACTTGATAAAATTTCCACTTTATTTTCTGAGAAACGCAAAACCTACAAGACACCACGCTTTATTCCATGAGACTCCCATTAAATTACATGCATCAAGGCATAATTTACCTTTTGGTATAAAGATAATACATTTTAAAAATGTATAGGGCCTACTGTAGTGTTAAAGAGTGTAAACTCAGTGTTTCTCGATAACACGGGAGAGTGGCACAGCGGGCTTGCCGTAGCTGTGTTGTAGGGGAGGGAACAACACAAAGGCAAAGAGGTCAAGAGGAGGAGGAGGAAACCACGTGTGACAGCCGACTCTGGAGCTGTCTGTCCTTCTGATGGGAACTTGTGTTTGTGATCTCGGTGTCTCTGCATGCTGCTAGCTTTACCCGGAGAAAGCGACTGACTCTACAGATCTGCTCCACATCCCTCAGCAACGGACATCTGTTGCTACGTCTGAAAGCTCGTTCGCTTGGAGAAACCACATCATGGTGAGCAAGACGGATGACATCCCGGCGTCAGTGCCCAACTGCACGGCTGTGGATCTCGCAGAGGACGGCGAGACGCCGGAGAGCGCAGAGAGCGGCAGGACAGCCCTGAAGAAGCCCTGTCCCTGCGGTACGTGAGCTCCAGACCTGACCGCTGTTCATCCCGAGAGCGGGAGAGAGCTAAAGCGGGCTAGCTTCAGCTCTCACAGAGAACATTACAGCGCTCTAGATAGCCTAATAATCCCATTGCTGGTCCTTGACGAGTCCAGACAATTTAGCAACAAACCTCTAGTCCTGGTTTACCAGTTACCGAGGCTGTAACAGAAGTGATGAGTAGACTCTGTCGTGTTTGAATCCGCGAAGGTCGCACACGGGAGGTCTGACAGACATTCTACTCACATGCATCCGTGTAGCTCCGTCCTCCTCCTCACTCAGTCACCTTAGCTAACTTAAGCAGGTAGCTAACAAGCAGGCTAACACTCAGCTAGCACATCCAGCTAAGCAACGAAATGCGCGAGAGATGCTCACTGACGAATTCGCCCCACCATGTAAACATTTACAAACTATTTCAGACTTTAACTCGCCTGCAGGGAGATAAAATAGCCAGTGAACTGAATGGCAGCCTCTCCAGCTTGGCTGGATGAGATATAGGTTAACCTTAATAAAACAATGAATGCATAACTAGCGACCTCCTCAGTGGAGAAGAACAGTCAATTTGCCTGTTTAACTTGTTACAGTCTCGTCCTCCCTGGCCAGTTTAACGGCCGTTTATTGGTGACCTCCCTTTACCAAAACCCTGCCACAGTGAGGCAGTAAGTCAATTAGCTCGCCACATCTTTAGCATACATATCTGCTCGTTAGTCAGTCTTCAGCTTAAAGTTATTCAGCAGGTCAGTTCATCATCTGAACGTGAACGTGGTGCCACGTTTGTACTCAGTACAGCAGCGGTAAATAAGGAGAGGCTCTGCAGAGAGACGGGGTGAAACGGCTAGCTAAAAGGCTGCTAGCTGCTAACAGCAGGAGCTAACGTTAGATGTCTCCTCTTTTAATTAGAACAAAAACAAAGGAATAAAAAAGTTACTGCAGTAAGGCAAAGCAGTAGAAATGATACAGTAACACCGAGGTGCACTGACAAGACGCAACGAAGCTGAAGTTAGCTTCCTATTCGCCAGCTTTGCCTTCGATTTTCCGTTCCACCTTAAATGTCACCGCAGTTCTTTCAGGCGCCGGTACAAGCGCTAGAATGTAACTGCTGCGCCGTTTAAGGTGGAACGGAAAAATTCGAATAAAAGCTGGCTGATCAAAACAACCCAGCACAGTGAGAAGCAGAGGGGTGGTCCTCGACTTTAAATGGTTGAGAGTGTGGGTAGAAGCCTTGTATTACTTTCCTTTATAAAGTTCAGGGTCATTCGTTAAAAGTTTATGTGTATCTGTAGCTGTAATCTCCCCGGCCGGCTCGCGCACATGCTATGTAACCGCGTGCACGAACCAATGAACTGAAGGTCACCTTCATTGGAAGCGTCCAAAGCAGCAGCTGCGAATAGGGGTGTTTGTAGTTCTGCTTTCACTTGGAGCCTATATTGACCGATGCCGTACGGCTGAGGGATTTTTTTTGTAGCACACAGCGCACTCAGTGAGCTAAAGTCAAAGAAGTTACTCGGCCTCCGTGGGCGCTGTGGGTGTGCAGGCTCGTTTCGTAGTTTCCTCGTCTCCCCCCACGCGGTGCCGTAGAGGTGCTCGGTTGCGCGACCGGGAAGCGGATGCTGTAGCACATGGAAAGTGTATGTGTGCCGCTGGAAGGTTATCGCTGCCTCTTACACACAGAGAGCGGACGCTGTGGTAAGCGTTGCGCTTTACAGACTCCATTAAAATATAGATAACAGTGTGTCATATTTGGAGACCTCAGTGGAGGAGTTATACGTCGATGCGTGCTCGGTTTTGGCCGACAGCCGGCCAAGTTATACAACTCGGCGAGCTGGCCGGCATTTGCGTCCACTGTCATGTAACAACGAAGCTCAAGTCAGTTTCTCATTCGCCCGCTTCTTGTTCGAATTTTCCCGTTCCACCTTAAATGGTGCAGCAGTTGCATTCTAACAGTACGAGCGCCAGAATGTTGCTGCTGCATTATTTAAGGTGGAACGGGAAAATTCGAACAAGAAGCTGGCGAATAGGAAGCCAGCTTCAGCCTCGTGTTTAAGAAGGACCTTGGAAAGACTGTACCTGTCATCATTGTTGCAAAAGAAGCTGGTCGGTGTCGTTGTGGTCACTGTTTGGTTGTCAGGGGGTGAAAGGGGTATTCCACCGATGTTTCAAAAAAATTTTCGCAAAATTTAGTTGTTGATATGTAAAAAAAAAAAACGGCTGCGTTCAAAAGAGCATAGAGCCACATTAACAACAGTTAAGAGTATTTTAATTAGTATCGCACGTACAGTGTACTGTAGCATGTGGTTTTGGACACAACCAGAGTCCTTCTGAGTGGTTTTAAGTGATAGTGAATTGTAGAGAAACTTACACAATTGTGGTGAAACCACTTCAACACAAATATAGCTGTTTTATTTTCAATCTAAAACACCTACAAGTGTCTTCTGAGTTTCTAAGTATAATGTTGATTATGGTAAAGCAGTGGTAAATAAAAAGGGCT